ACTGGCACAGTGTTTAAGAGGCTCAGCTCAGGTGAAGGTGAAAAAATGATTGTTATGATTAGGCTAAAAGAAGGAATTTTGAAGGCTTCACTCATTTGCAATTCTCTCAGCATAAGAACACTTGCTTTGGTTGATGGAGAACAATCGCACAAGGACTGAGAGGTGGGAGGGATTTGTTGCCAAACATTCTGTCATTCCATTCTTTCCAGATGTGATACACAAAGCTCGCCAATGTGAGCTTCCAAGTAGGAATTCTGTTAGCTTTCAATTTATAAAATGAGGAAATCTTCCCATGTATTAGGGTTTGTATAGAACCCATACTTATTTTGATCACCATTCCATATCATTTTTGAGTATGTACATTGATGGAATATGTGCTCATGAGATTCTGCCGCATCAAGGCATAGATGACACACATTAGGCTGCATTTTATACCAAACTGCTGGCTTATTCAACTATTGCAGGGTCAGCGTCTGATTAGAGTTGGTGGATAATGCCTGATAGATCGAGAGGGCCACAAGGCAACCAGCCCGTCATAAAACACCATTATTGACCCGTGCTTGATGAGTGATTGAGCTAAATGTTGATTCTGCATTAACTTCCCCCAGAACCATGAGAAATCATTGGGGATATTCAGCTCTCAAATGCACCTCTGCTTGAACAGATAAGTAAGTACGTTTCCAGTCCTTCCATAGACTTTCAAACCTGCCCCACACTTTTTCCCTTTGAACCTTTGCCTTGAACTTATTCATGGTGGACCAGCCCAAAGAAACCTTTGCATAATCATGTTGATTTTGTCACAAATTTTGACCGAATCCATAGATTTATCCAAAAGATGTGTAGCCTATTGCGAAATCAAACAGAAAATACAAGAAATAGATCAAACACACACACAACAAGAACACACATATTTTACTTGGTTCACCTAAAATTTAGGGTTACGTTCAAGGGTTGCAGGAATTTCACTGTGATGATCAAAAAACAGCGGCAGATACAAAGAGTTCAGAATGAATAAATACCCTCGCATTAGGACAACATAACAAGTTAGATCCGTGAAATTAGGACTTGATGTACAGTATCTATCGGGCTCCATACTTCCCATCATAGCCTTGATTGGTTGTAGTCTTCCTTTAAAAGAAGGTGACGGTGCAGTTCAATTTGTAACTCTAGCCTTGATTTGTTGTAGTCTTCCTCTGACCTTGCAGTTCAATTTGTATCTCTAGCCATCATGCATTCAGTGAGTTAACTTGAGAAACAAGAACAGATAATAGAGTATCATCAAAGCTATGCAAAAAGAGTTCACAATAAAAAGAAGGAGAAAAAAAAAATTCGAAGAGAATCCAAATCCATTTCCAAAGCCCCATAACCCCAACCCAATAAAATCACATATAAAGAATTAGAAGTAAAGAAAAATATAATACCAAATTCAGAAAATTCACGATAGACAACCCCATTAAATATGACCCATGAGCAATCAAATCGACAGCCTTCCCTCTAGCCCAGATCCAATTCCTCAACCTCTAATCACTACCGGGGATATGTCCACATTGCCTTTTGCACTCTGCAATCTCAATCCAATCAAGATCTCTTCTCTAGAAAGGATTTGGTTCTGTTTATTAGTTTGATGAAATCTATGATGCTAAAGTCCGCCACAGTTCCATAATCAACATCATTAGAGATGATGTTATCTTCTGCACAAAGAAGACTTCATATTGCACAATCAAATCTGGGTACAATTGAAGAAGAAGAAGAAGAAGAAGAAGAAGGAAGTAAGTGACTGAGAAATAAGGTTATCTTAATCAACGCCAAGTACAACCCTTGAAGTCTTGATTGAGGGAGTAAATAATTGACATTTTTGAAAAAAAATGTTTTAAAAGCCTAGTGTCCGTCACCTCAAGACCTGCAAACGGAACATGATCCGATCCGAATTCAATAAATATTTTAGTTGATTTGATCTGATTTGATAATTCGATGTATATTTTGTAAATCAATTCGAATCCGATTTGTTAATAAACGATAATTCGATCCGATAAAAAAACAAATTTTTTTTTTTTTTTAAAAAAATATATATATAAATTAATGTTAAAAAAAAAAATAAAAACAAACAATGATTATATGCAAAAGACATAAAATAAAAGATAAGTAAAAAATGAAAGGAAAAGGGAAAAAAATTTATTTACTAAATAAAAAAAAATTATCTAATGAATAAAGAGTATGATATTATTAATATGTATACCACATTATTTATATATAATATTATGATTTTTTTAATAGTTTTTTGGATTACCTCTGATACATATATGATACATATATATATATATATATATATATATATATATATAATTTTATTTGGATCGGATCGGATTATTTTCGAATGGGATCAGCATAATTCATATCTGATTTATTAGGCTAACGAATTATTAGATTCGAATTTTTTGTTCAATTCATATCCGACTAATCGAATCAAATATAAATCAAAATTCGTCCCATTAACAAGTCTAAATCACCTCTCGCCAACTAGCAGGGATTGTGCAATGCCCGCGCATTAGAATAAAGTGGGTTAAGTTTTACACACTTATATATAGAATTATGGAGACGAGAGGATGGATGACTATTAGAGAATGTAGAAATGAATAAATGGAAGAGTCCTAGAAAGGTAGAGTGATGTAAAATTTGTAAATAAGGGAAGAGTTTTAGCTAAATGTTAACTATTTGATTGTAATACATTACAGTCTAGCATTAAAAAAGAGAATGTATATATGGGGTGGAGGTCTCTTTTTATACTCATCAAGTCTTAAGAGCGAGTCTAGAGCTAATATTTGTAGTCATTAAGTTCTTTTAGTCAGTGAACTTAGTTTAGAGTTCACTTGAGAAGAAGGGGAATTTCATAATTTAAAATAGACGTCAGATATTTTTGATATTTTTGTGTGGGGTTGAACAATATGCTTGGTATTCTCAACAGTCTTCGATTGATATTTTTGTCTGATTTCAGTACCTGTTTCACAGCCGTCAAAGAGCTATTATAATGAGGAAATTTTTTTCATATCTCATATACTATTGCATATTATATGGATTTTGTAATTTCAGGACGGACATCTCGATCACAAAGATTTGATACTACAAAAAAATTGAATAAAAGATTTAATTATTATTATTATTATTATTATTATTATTATTATTAATTTTTAAGTTAAAATGCATTTTTTTCAATATTAAAAATTAAATAAGAAAAGAAAAAAATATAATAAAAAAGTAACTTCTTTTTAAAATTGATTCCAAATCGATCACCCATCTAATGTGTTACATATCATATTATAAGCACTAAAAAGGATGTTCCTCCTTAAAAAAAAAAAAAAACAAATTTCAAATATATTTTTTTTCTTCTTGATTTCATTGCCAATTTTTTAATTTCTTTTTTTGAAACCTATCTTTTTTATTATCTTCATATGATCATTGAAATGATAAAATCTCTTTCCCAAACAAAAAATTTCTCTCAGAAACATTACTTGACTAAAAAATAAAAATGGTGCACAGATGAACTCTCACTATTTCAGTCTTTTTGGCTTGTGAATCGACTGTCCAAAAGTGTCTTTGCACATGTGAATCTGATTAGCCCCTTCCATGCATTCTATATTGCCATGCCGACATCATCTTCTTCCCTAGTATTATATATTTAATTTTCTCTCTATTATATGTATATATTTATATACATGGAGAATGACGCGACCAGACAAACATATACATGCATTATAACTAATTATAACAATATATAATGGAGAGACCCTATAATTGATCAACCACCTGAACGAATATTTTGACATTATATTGTATATTGTGGTGCCTTCGACAAGTGCGCTCAATATAAAATTTGATATGATTCAGCCTTGAGAATTTAAAACTTTGATATATAATGTTTTAAACGCACGCTTTCAGTTAAATCAATGACGTTTGGTAGATTATAATATATTTACTAGCATGGCATGCATGCGTTATCATAATCATCATGTGCAACTTTTAATTTCCCGATAAACAAAGTGTAGATTAGCTTATGATCGAATGAAAATGTTACTTAAATCACACAATTTTTTTTCAATTGTTGTTACGTAATATAGATTAGCTTATGATTGAATGGAAGTAGTGTTATTTAAGTAGCACAATTCTTTTAGTTACATAGTGATATGATTTTGATTGAGACCATGTAATTTCGAACCATCGTAATAATTTCTTAAATGTGAAGTCCATCATTGATACATAGTGGATCCCATGTGACAGCGAGACATCCAGTATTAGCTGTCACAAAAATAGAGTTTTCCACGATTGTTCTAAACTAATTCATGAAGATTTGTAAATACAACTTGATTATTCATTTGAATTTATAGCCAAAATTTTCACTTTGCAATCTTGATCCTAACTCTGACTAAGAGGCATCTAACATAATGATATAAATTTTCTATTTGAGAGGGTTTCGAGGTTGTGGACAAAAATTATATATAAACAAGTGCATGAATTTGTTTCTTGTCAATAATAATAATAATAATAAAAGTCTTGATCTCAACCTTAAGCTCAAACATTAACTAAACAACAAAATTAGAATTATCTAAACGAATTAACGGATTGACTCGGTTAAGTATGAGTTTGACTAGCAATGTCATATAGACTCCAATGATATTCATATTTACCAATGTTTTTTTTCCTTCCTAATTTAACAAATTTTTTTAATATTGAATTGATTAACAAAGATAAATTTAAAAATTATTCTTGTCATTACAATAAAAAAATATAAAAAATTTACTACCATAAAAATAAAAAATAAAAAATAAAAAAAAAATTTGTATTCTCCAACGAAACGACTTTTCAATTTTGCACGAGCCCGTAAAAACTTTATTTCGTCCAACGTTTACATATGGCATGTGTAATATAGACACCGAAAAATAAAAAATATACATATAGACACCGGCATATGTATTATATGAACAGTCCAAATGCCGCTGGTGTAATGAAGTTTTAGCACCTGTCCAGAGCTCTTCATCACATATCCAAAGTCCTTCTAGTATAACTTTTTGGACTTTTGACTGAATATTACCAAAAGAGTAACTTAAGGATCAGTTTGGATTCTGGATTCGTCAATAATACCTTCTTCGAAGTTGCCTCTGTTGTTAAAAAAAGAAGAAGTTGCCTCTGTTTTGCGACTTTTCTCTTCTCCTTGTCAAGGTTCGACAACTTCCACTCTGGCTGCTCCTTTTAAGCTCAAAAGTCAATTCCTCACGTTTTCATCGTCCAAACAACCCCTCAAACAATATCCCCACCATCACCATCACCACCACCACCACCACCACCACCACCACTTCACAGTTTCAAATCTCCATGAAAGCCTAGTACCTCCCAGATGTCCCCCTTCTTCTTTATCTCTCTACATTTACTCCTCTCTGTCTCCTCCTCTCCCACCTCCACTGCCCGCGAAATCCCCATCCGACGGCTGGCCGGCGAGAACACCACCGTCCCATGCCCTCTTGAATTCGACGACCTTCGCAGGCTCGTGCAGGGCTCGAAACGGCCCAAACTAGACACTAACACCGAGTGCCAGTACATCCTGCAAGGTATCCGGTTAGTCCAGTCCGAGTACCTCCGTACCACCGGCAAGTTCCTGCCACCTCTCGACTCGGCCGAGTCGTGTTGGGACTTGTACCAAACCCTAGTCGACGAATTCAGACCCAATTTCGATATTCGTCGGACCTGCGGGTTCGAGACCAGCTGGATCGCCGAGGGTTGTATGAACATCACCACTCGTGCGGAATTCGAAGCCATTGTGACGAGATCGACCCTGGACGACGTCGTTGCGTCGTGTAATCAATCCCTCGAGAACAGCTCGCCGTGCTCCTCCTGCTTCACCAGTCTGTCGACACTCCAGGCGTCGCATTTGACCGGTCCGTCGATCGGAAACGTCTCCGATTGCACGGTGTTCCCTTTAATCTACGCCGCCGCCTTCGCGAACCAGTTCGGCCCCACAGATACAGGTACCGCCAAATGCTTGTTTTCTCTCGATTTTACTCCGCCCAATTCGAATAGTAAACGGAAAAAGATTGTGATTTCTGTAGTTGTGATAGTTTGTGTTGTTGTATTGCTTGTGGGTTTTGGTGGGTTTTGGTTTTTACGGCGAAAACACTGGATATTTTGGAAGAGGAGGCAGATTGTGAGGAGTCAAACTAGTTTGGCTTCTGGGTTGGATTCAATTAGTGGAAGTACTAATTTGATTAGGTTCACATTTGATGAAATTAGGCAAGCAACTAAGAATTTCTCTAGGCACAACATAATTGGGAGGGGAGGGTATGGAAATGTATACAAGGGTTTATTGGCTGATGGGACTGAAGTTGCGTTGAAGAGGTTCAAGAATTGCTCGGCGGCTGGTGATGAAAGTTTTACTCATGAGGTGGAGGTTATCGCGAGTGTTCGCCATGTGAACCTTGTTGCTTTGAGAGGGTATTGTACTGCTACTACTCCTTTGGAAGGCCATCAGAGGATAATTGTGTGTGAATTGATGAATAATGGTAGTCTTCATGATCATCTATTTGGTATGAGGGAGAGGAAGCTCAGTTGGCCAATTCGTCAGAAGATTGCTCTCGGAACAGCTCGTGGGTTGGCTTATTTGCATTATGGGGCACAACCAACTATCATTCATAGGGATATTAAAGCTAGCAACATACTTTTGGATGAGAGATTTGAACCCAAGGTGGCAGATTTTGGCCTTGCAAAGTTTACACCGGAGGGAATGACACATCTGAGCACCAGGGTGGCCGGGACAATGGGTTATGTTGCTCCTGAATATGCACTGTATGGGCAGTTGACAGACAGAAGTGATGTTTACAGCTTTGGTGTTGTATTTCTTGAGCTTTTGAGTGGGAAGAAGGCCATTGTTGCAGTTAATGAGGGCCAACCGACTCTGGTGACAGATTGGGCATGGTCATTGGTCAAAAAAGGAAAAACTTTAGATGTTATTGAACACAATATTCCGGATTTGGGCCCTCCAGAAGTTATGGAGAAGTTTGTATTGGTTGCTGTTCTTTGTTCTCACCCCCAGCTGTATGCTAGGCCAACAATGGACCAGGTTGTGAAGATACTGGAATCGGACCTGCCAGTTCCCTCCATCCCGGAACGACCAATTCCTCTTATTGCGGATATTGATGATATTGAGAGATCTGTGAGCAGTAGTGGCTCAGGTATTCTGTGTTCTACTGCTGGATACCAGACATTTACGATTGAGAATGATCGCCCTTCTAATGTCAACTCAGAAGGGGAATTTTCTGGGGCCAGATAATCTAGCGATTCACATGGTGGACGCGAGGAGTATATTCAAGTATTTGTTATGCTTATCTTGATTCATTTGTTGGGACAAGGCTTTGTTGAGTTGAGTATCTTGATTCATTATTTTGTTGAAGGGTGACTACCAAAGTTATAGCATAGCACACGAAGATCATAGAAAGAGTGAGCACAAGTCATATTATGTACATTGTATAGCATTTTTTCTCATGAAAACCGATTCTTCTTCCACGTTTGATGCCTTATTGTTCCACCGACCCAGTTGAGTTGGGTGCTTGTGATATTGCAGACTACATGTGAATGTGGTCTTAGAGAGCAGATAAGAAATTGGATGGTAATGCAAGATATTATGAAGGCATAACTCTGTGCCTTGTTGGAAGGGTTAAAATTGTTACACTCTCTCAGGTGATGTCGGGCGATTCTGCTCGCACTATGGGTTGGGGAAGATCAGTGCTTTCTGTTGCTTGGACATATGCCTTCTTGGTGCAGTGGAGGGGTTTCACTAACGTGTTTCAGAGGCTTCAAGTATTTGTGCTTCTGTTGTAGGGTAGGGTAGGGTTGTATTTGTTCTGTGTATTTTGCCACTTTGGTGAACCACTTTTCTTTTTCTTCCTTCCTTATTTGCCTTAACAATGCCTTGTTACACTTTTATGATTATATGTTAAAAAGGGTGATAATATTTGACACTGCAAGAAAAATAAGTGGCATTCAAGTGACTTCATCTAATGTCTGCTCATGCTTTTAAGTTCTCCTTCTTTTGTGTGTTTCCAGGGACTGTTGTTACTTTTAGGTTATTACTTTTACATTATCATGCCTATAACAACAAAAAAACCTCATAGCCTCATAGGAGAGTACATCTCTCTCTCTCTACACACACACACACACTGAACTGCATTGATTGTTGTTGATAATTTCCTAATAATGGGATTTTAGCTGGAGCAAATGCACGAAAGGGAGAAACTCTGTGCCGGAAAGAATCATATCTTCTTGATCCTCAGTGTTCATTGTTCAGTACAGCAACTGCAATGGGTGGAAAGTGGACAAAACTCTCTGCTGGAAAGAATCATCATCTTCTTGATGCATTGTTATGACAAAAGCGGAGCCCACCACCATAAAGTGTAGTGTTTGGTTTGAGGCCTATTCATTGAGTTGAAGTGAGGGTGATTTTCTTCAACCTACTCCTCTTTTTATATGGATATGGTCATCATAATAATTATGAAAAATTCAGCAACATATTTTTAGGTATGACCAATCCTAGTAGTACATGTCCATGCCCTCTCTGGGAGTAGGTATTTGGCAGAGGGTAGGTGTTTGGTGAGCCGATTGCACGGAGTTGTGCATGCATAACACGCATGGCTTAGATTCGCCCGATGCCCCATGCATTGGGCGTATTGAATATTTATTCTGTCTCCTAGTAATGTATAGTGAACTTTGGAAAAAAAATTTGACAGATTGATCTAGGGGTGGAGCCATGATTTAATTTTTGGGCGTATTGAATATTTATTCTGTCTCCTAGCCATGTATAGTGAACATTGGAAAAAAAATTTGACAAATTGTTCTAGGGGTGGAGCCATGATTTAATTTTTGACAGATTGATCCAGGGGTGGAGCCATGATTTAATTTCAGGGGTGTAATGTACCTGACTAAAGGGAAATAGGAGTGCAACTTTTTTTTTTTTTTTTTAAAAAGGAAATTATAGGAATTTGAAGAGTAAAAGAAGGGAAAAAGAAAAAAAGAAAAAAGATATAAGATATAATTTTAGCAAATGAAGATTTTAGAGGGGCATACTATAAAATTTCCACATATGGTAAAAAATAACAAAAAAAAAAATGATGCATATATAAAGGGAATGGGTGGGCCCAGGGGTGCCCCTGGCCATGCATCGGCTCCACCCCTGGATTGATCTCACTTTAAAATTAGAGAGGGATTGATATTAATGAGAAAACCTCATCTATTACTAGGGTGATTTTAGACCACTCTAGTGCACCAGAAATACTTTCCTACAATGGTGATAAAGATACTACGTTATCATTGGTGTGATCAACTAATTATATCTTGTTATTTTTTATGTGTATTTACTTTAATGAGTATTATCACTGCGTAACTACGTGTTAATATTTAATTAGTTGGTGATATCATGTCATTAATGTAAATGCAACGCTTAATACTTTTTAGAAATAGTAATTGAGCTTAACTTGGGACTGCAATAGGCTTACCTGTACATATGGGGTTGGTCGAAAAGGGGTAGCCCAAGTTCCAGAGGCATGCGAGTCCATTAATTTCTTCAGATTAATGTCAACCTTGGAAGCCCAAACAAACTGCTTAAAGGCCTAAATGTGTTTACATTGGACCAAATCGAATAATATCAGTTGCAATTTAAATATATATATTTTAAAATAATGTGAACAAGATAAGTATAGTGACTAGACGTGCATGCATTAATTGACGAGTTGATGCATCACCCACAGGGTTGCTTTCAAGGTTGAGTTTGAGAATTGAGTTTTAGTCCAAGACAACTCTATTACATCATTTACATAATAATGATATCATTATTAATACCCTCAAAGCTTAGCTGTCAAACCTTACTGTAGTTTGCACTAGGGCAAAGTAAAAAAAAATCCCGGACTTGTAACATTTTTTAGTAAATTCTTGTTTAATTTTTTTATCAAAGAATTACGTTCGATTTGTAACACTTTTCAATAAATTTGCATGTCTAATTTTTTATGAAAGAACCTCCCTCAACTATCTAAAAGGGTAAAAAAGTTGATATTTGGACTAAAATATTATTTTATTTTAATTTTAATTTTTCCGAACTTCAAAATTTCATATCTCACAAATTGTATATTCAAATATTGCTAATAATATATGTACGAAAAACTTATAAAATAAGGATTTCAGAAATATAAGATTTTTTTAACAAAACTTCATAACCGGAGAGAAATAGACAATCTAAAAATCTATTACAACAATCTTATTTTATTTTATTTTTTATAAAATAATCGGGTTATTTGTAATAAAAATTTTAGAATTATTTATTTTTATATGTAGCATGACATATAAAAAAATTAGCCCCAATTGAGACCGAATATTCATTTTTATATTTTTTTAAAGGCGAGTCTATAAAGAATGAAAATATTTTGACGCAAAATTTGATATATTATGAAATCGATCTCTATTAGGGCCAAATTTTTTTTATATATTCGGCTCCATATGTAAATGAATAATTTTGAATTTTTTTTTGCAAATATCTCGAGTTTAAAAATAAAATAAGATTGTTGGGGTAGATTTTTAGATTGCCTATCTCTGGTTATGAAGGTTTGTTGTTCAAATTTTATATTTCTAGAATATTTATTTCATAAGCTTTCCGTGCATATATTATTTATAATTTTTAAATGTACGATTTGTAAAATATGAATTTTGAAGTTTGGGAGAATTAAGATTTAAGTAAAAGAGTATTTTGGTTCAAATATCAACTTTTTTACTCATTTCAGATAGTTGAGAGGGGTTCTTTGGTAAACAATTAGATGAGGGGGATTTATTGAAAAAAGACTACAAATTGAGGGGATTCTTAAGTAGAAAAATAGAAAAAGGGGGTTTATTGAAAAATGTTACAAGTTGAGAGGGGTTTTCAGTCTTTTGCTCTTTGTATTATGTTAAATTATAATTTAGTCAAAATTGCAATTATGTAGAATTTGAATTTATTGAACTACAATCCACGTGACTGGAAATTTTCTGTTATGATAAATTTATATCTTATCCATCTTTTTATGTTCTAAAATGTAGGTATCATTTTAATAATTGAATGTATTAATTTTTATAATATTTTGCACTAATTACTAAGCATTTTTTATGAATAAATTTAAAAATTCACCACTTATCAATACGATAAAAAAAATATATTAAAATCCAATATCATAAAAAGTGAATAATTCACTTGGAAATGATTCCAAATTCAATTTCCATGTTTGGTATAAAGTAGAAACTATCATTTGGGAATGAGATTTGAAATAATAAAAAAATTATTACCCATTTAAAATAAAAAGAAATAATTCAAAAATATTTGTGTGTTGCTGTACATACTTGTGTCGTACACACAATGAAAAAAAAAAAAAAAAAATGAATATGGTTACACCATCTTCGGATCTCTTATATTGTGGCCTAATAAAAGAACAAACATAAATGTCATAAAGCCATCATCAATATCCTGAAACGTGATGGCCAGAACAACCTTATTGACTATTATCTCTTCATTTTCTCTCTCTCTCTCTCTCTCAACTTTGTATATATAGACATTACACAATATGTATCCATATTGATCACTCTTAGATGTTATCCATCCATTGTGTACCAGTTGTTTAGAATTTGTAGGTGACGGATACCTAATGATAATTACTCTTATCTGATACAAGATTCTTTCATTTGTTGATTGTGCACTTCAATTTTTCTTTCACCATGGCGGAATAAGAAAAATGTTGCCTGAATTTATATACTCTGGTAGTTATATATGTATGAAGGTTGTTCGAAACAAGGAATCAACGTATTTGCATGTGGCGGTAAACTGCATATATCTAATCCTACTCCAACCCAGCAAGGTTTGCCTTTTTATAACATATCTTTGTATGTATACTTAAGCATTTTTATGTATATAAATATTAACGGTTTTATAAATGTATGTATGTATTTACCATGCCTCCTAATAAAGATGAGAGTTTGTTGAAGGTCTTGAGTTTCAAGTTGATTAGAAATTTGAAAATCTATCTCAGCTTATGGAATTATATTTGTGGAATTGACAGATGTGGACTTCAATTTGAATTACAATTCTGTATGAATTAAAAATCCAAATAACATATTTGGAAATGTGACCTACGATTCCGACTCCAAAACCTTAATTCCGTCCACTAAACACAACCCTAATTTGTATCAATTTCTTGGGCTGAATTGCAGTTTGGCTACTGAATGGGAACTCAAGCCATTTTAAATCGTATTCATAGTTCCATGTCAAGTTGAAAAACACTCCATGGGATTTTGTAATAGATCATAGATTAGCTTGTGCATGTGACTATTTGGTGTGTGACTAAAGTCCGAGTAGTCACTTTGTGCAAAATAAAATATAGAGCGATGATAGAACGTCCACATCAGTTGTGAGCCTCACGCCCCCACTAACATCAGCCCTTTAGAGTTAAAGTTAGTGATGAGCCCCACACCCCTCACTCACATCACCCTATTCAAATTATCCTGCTTTTGGACAATAAATGATTTTCCTAATATTTATAGTCAAATCTATATGCACCCTCCCCTCCACACCCCAATGGACAAGCCATACAAGGCAACGCCACACCCCTTCTCACATTGTGCAACCTTCCCTCCACACCCCAGTGGACAAGCCATACAAGGCAACACCACACCCCCGCTCACATTGTGCAAAATAGCATCTAGAGCGATGATAGAACGTCACGTCAGTTATAAGCCCCACACCCCCACTCACATAACCCTTTTAGAGTTGAGTCAGTAATGATCCCCAAACCCCTCACTCACATCACCCTATTCAAGTTATCCGGCTTTTGGATGATAAATGATTTTCCTAATATTTATATTCAAATCTATATGCAACCTTCCCTCCACACCCCAATGGACAAGCTATACAAGGCAAAACCACACCCCCACTCTCATTGTACAAAATAGTATCTAGAGTAATGATAGAACGTCCACATCAGTTGTGAGTCCCACACCCCCACTCACATAATCTCTTTGGAGGTAACGTCAGTGGTAAGTCCTGCGTCCCTTACTCACGTCATCCTATTCAGAGTTGTCCGACTTTCCAACAATAAAATGATTTTCCTAATATTTATAGTCAATTCTATATGCACCCTTCCCTCCACACGCCAAAGGACAAGACATACAACGCAAAACCCAACTACCTGTCCTCAGATCCAGAAGAAAAGATTGTTGAAGAACCAATGTTAGGTGAAAAGTTTAAGCCATAGGTAGATGAAGATATTTTCCGAAGCATTTCCCACTTGCCATTGTCTTTATTATGATGTATGATGTATCTATTCATAGTTAATAATTAAATCTTAATTTAGGCTGGTAACAGTGTTTCTAATTCAGAAAGACAACCAATTGAAAAGGATGGGGATTAAAAATCAACTGAAATGATTGTTGAAAGACATATTGTGCCAGTGTCTCTGGTACAAACTAACAGTCCACCTCTGAAATTCTGGCATGGAAACAAAGTATGTGGGACATGTGCTAGACTCATACACAAAAAGGAATTAATTATTAAATAAGCATGTCCATCTAATTATTGGTGGTTCAAATTGTAGATAGTTATAGTACATAATGAACAAATGAATCCTGATTTTGACTGCCGGCTTATTATTTCTAATTTTGTGTTTGTGTGTGTGTGTATATATTTTTATATATTATAGTCATTGTAGTAGAACCATGAATGCAACTATATATGATCAATGCAAGGGTGGTTGTTTGATACAATAGTAAATTATTTGGCTGTCACACAAAAACAATGAGACAGGGTAGTCTATTTCCAGACTCTCTCTCCCAATATTCTACTCAGACAGGATTTATTATGGATAGACTGTGGAAAAAGATTAAATTTTTAATGATTTAAGGATTATTTGCCTGTCTTTATATAAAATTGGGACCATATCGAGAAAGTTACAGGTTTTTCTTCCTCTGAAGTTACTATGTATGTGACTGTGAAATGTTTTTCCAACTCAAATGATATTGACAGGTAAAACACTAAAAAAAAAAAAAGAAAAAAAACAAAACACAGTGGACTTGACAATATGTGTTCCAATGAACAGTCACAACAGACTTGACCAAATAGGTATCAAGTAGCCAAGTTGATGTGTTTGATCTGCTTACGCTCTTTTTGTTGTTCTTTTGTTTGTTTGTGTTTTGTACTGTGAAAAGTGAAAATTCTTTTTACTGTGTCTTCGTTTCTTTTTTTCTTTTCTTTTTTTTTCTTAGTTGCTAGTCACACATATATGCCTCCACTGAGACTCGAATCCCTAGCCTAAAAATAGGGGTTTGGTACCGCTAGACCACTGGCCTAATAGATTGTATCTACGTTCCTCAATGAAATGTTTCTGATTTACCAAAGAAAAAGAGAATATTAAATTCCAAATACAGCCAACTTGGCCATGATACTGAATGCCAAGGTTAGGCATTGTCACTTTAAATAGAAACTACAGAAAAATGTCCTACAAGGAAATTTCATCCCTTATCATATATGCTGCTATTCATAAAGTTTCTTACTCTTATTTAATAATGTGTCTTCTTAGGTTTGAATTCATCTCCTAAAGATTGTCCTCTTATCTGGTGCACACAAACAAGCATTACCATACCATAGACATGGCTATTGAACAAGATATAGAGAAAGCTGAGAACAATGCACCAGAAGATATAAGAGTGCCGCTTATACCGGAAGAGAAAACTCTAGCTGACGGAGCCGGTGCTGAAGATGAAACCGGGAAAGACAGCAAAGGGCATCAGTGGATGCTGTACTTTAGCACGTTCGTCGCAGTTTGTGGCTCTTATGCATTTGGATCCTGTGTAAGTGCCTAGGATTGATTAAATTTCAAGTCATATAGTTAAAAAGAACAGAAACCAATAACTATGAACTAACACTACACTTTAATACTAACTTTTTTACTGACCAGTAAACTGCTATCATTAACATTTGTTGGTTTTCACTTTTCAGGCAGGTTATTCATCTCCCACTCAGTCTGCTATTGTGGAAGATCTCGGTCTATCTCTGTCTGAGGTTTGTTGAAGATTTATACTCTTAACTTTTTTAAGCATTTATGTCTTGGATGAATAATGATCACAAATTGGGATTGGTCTTTTTAACTGAAAAGCTATGAAGCAGATGCTGAAGTTAAGTCATATCCCACCAATATATATTAGATCAGAATTGCCGATGCAACGATATATATAGACATGTATATTTATTTATTTGTACATAGGATGATTTGGAATGCAGAGCCCTGCTATCCGTTATGGGGGCCATTGAGCCTTTGATAAGGTGTCACGGTTCAATTTTCGTCTGGCTGCCCCCTGTACTCATTAGTACAACTACAGATCTGCACAAAAATTTGGGCATGATTCGAAGGGAAGACGTGTTAAAACAGATATATATATGTTGTTGCAAATTACAATAGGCCAGCAATCACAAGAAGTCAAGAAAATTTCACAAATGGTTCAAGAATGATCCACAATATTAGCAGTGTCCTGAATGAGTCATCAATTCTCATAATAGTATTATATATTGAATAAAGATGGTTACCAATGTTCGATGAAAATGTAATCAAAATTTGTCAGAGTCGGCAGATTTCCTTGCATTGCATTCGGGAAAGGCAGATCTCACATTTCATAATAGTGCTTAGTGCACTTGTTTTACTGGAACAACTCGCAATGCAAGTCTTGTCAATATGAACTTTAAACTGTTTCTCACAAATCTCTTGATGTAATTCTACATTTCTATGTAGTACTCATTGTTTGGTTCCATATTGACTTTCGGTGCAATGATTGGTGCGATCACAAGTGGGGTGATTGCTGACTTCATCGGTCGCAAAGGGGTAAGTCAGAGAATATTCATCTCCTAATATCAACCATTATGCAGTCTAGGGATTCTCTGCCTCGTAAAACCCTGCAGATAATGATGCATCAAAATATGACATCCACGCAGGCAATGAGATTGTCAAGCGCTTTCTGTGTTGCAGGATGGCTAGCCATTTATTTTGCCGAGGTTTGTGCAATCTTACTAGTAGAATTCACTTCTGCTTTTAGTCCTAAGTGAGATAACCTGATGTTTCTGTTTCGATTATCAAAAGGGTGTTTGGCCTCTGGACATAGGAAGGCTAGCAACAGGATATGGAATGGGAGTATTTTCCTATGTGGTACATTTTTCTCTCTATCTAATAATTCATCCCATGCTATCTGAATTGTATACTTCTTGATGAATATTTACATATATTTTACACACTTATGCCAATTCTATGTCAATGACAAGGTGCCTGTGTTTGTTGCTGAAATAGCACCAAAGAATCTACGAGGAGCATTGACAACCCTAAATCAGGTAAAAGAATGCAAAAAACACATTTCTCAACAGAAATATATTTAATTAATCACTGAAAAAACAATTTTATTTTTCTTTTAACTGAAATCAGACATGGGAAGAAATAAACACAAAATATTTTGAGATAGCTGTTATCTTATATAAACTAAAGCAGAATTATTATTGTTGAAAACTTGACATATATCTAAATTTCAAATCTAAATTGTCCTACTCAATGACACAGTTCATGATAGTTGCTGGAGTATCTGTTGCCTTCATAATAGGGACAGTGCTAAGTTGGAGGACTCTAGCATTAACAGGTGACATTTTGACACCCAACTTAGTTTTAAAATTGTTCATTACAAGAAACTTGAGAAAGGGCTTAGCAAAACTAAAATATAAAATTGTAGGGAATTACTAGGGATACTATGACAAGGGGCTCACCTGTTTGAGTTCTTGCAGGAATAATCCCATGTGCAGTTTCGGTGTTAGGTCTCTTTATCATTCCCGAGTCTCCCAGATGGCTGGTAAGACATACAAATCAACAATGAATTTTCATGTATTGTGATAGTAGCATTACAGAGAAAAAGGCATATGTGAAAAATTCTCTTAACATGAATGCAGGCAAATAAGGGACGTCAAAAAGATTTTGAAGCTGCACTTCAGAAGCTTCGTGGCAAGGATGCTGATATCTCTTGCGAGGCAGCTGAAATCCAAGTTCATACTTCTAACTCTAAAAAAAACTCCACTCTTCATTAAAAATGTTTCGGTCTTTAAGAGCATTTGGAAGATGACACTGGGAATTATGTCATTTCTTGACAGGATTACATAGAAACTCTTCAACTCCTCCCAAAAGCCAGTTTGTTCGATTTGTTTCAAAGAAGATACTTGCGCTCAGCCATTGTAATTGTTTCTATTTCTCAAAACTAATTTACAAGTATCTTTCTTTGCTAATTAGCCGATCCCTAAAGATACATATCAGTTTAGTATGATAATAAGCTTCATTCCTGGTCTAACTATACATTATTAATGACTTCTGGTGATCAGATAGGAGTTGGGTTGATGGTCTTTCAACAATTTGGGGGTATAAATGGAATCTGCTTCTATGTCAGCAGTATTTTCGAATCAGCAGGTAAAGAAATTAACATTTTTGATTGCCCTTTTCACTTTTTCTCGATGATTAGTGACAATTAGTAATTCCTATAATTGCATCTGTAATTTCCCAGGATTTGATTCCAACCTTGGAACAATAATCTATGCAGTTCTCCAGGTTACATGCAACTCTCACTCGATCAATTCTTTGGAATTCCTGGTTTCTCTTTGTACAAGGAATTAGATGAAAACCGATTACTTTTTGCAGGTTATAGTTACTGGTCTTAGTGCAACCTTAATAGAAAAGGCCGGAAGAAAGCTCCTTTTATTGGTAAATCCTGTTACAAAGCAACATTAGCTCAAGCTAAGCCATGATACTGTTACTCCTTGATTTAAGGTTAATTTTTGTCATTCCAGGCTTCTGCAACAGGATTGGTCATAGGCTGTGTACTAACAGGGACTTCATTCTTTCTGACGGTAATTGTCAAACTGTTAATTCTAATGTGTTTTCTTGCATGGATTCTTCTGTTTTAACTTGAAAAGATCTTGTGGCCAGTCATATGAATTATCAGTCGATGCAGCACCTGTACTTGCTGTAGTAGGCATCCTGGTAAGATCTTCAACTTCATGTAACCTAATGATCCATTCATATCAACTTATTAGGGATCATTGCTTAATGCAATGACAAAAAGCTCGGGTTCAGAGCAGCCACTTAGTGCAAAAGAATGCCAATTTTTAGGTCTGCCTCGAGTTTTCCCCTCCTAGTACCCCCTTGGGTATTTTATTTTTTTGGCAAATTGACTTGTCAACTCTTTCACATTACAATTTATAATATTTTTCTTCGAGATCAGGTGTACATAGGGGCCTTTTCAGCTGGAATGGGAGCAGTCCCCTGGGTTATAATGTCCGAGGTATATTAAAAAAAAATTTAAAGCTATCATTTACATCTATAATATGAATGTATGATCATGCCAACAATTTGAAATTGCCTTCTGTTGCAGATATTCCCTATAAATATTAAAGGAGTAGCTGGAAGCCTAGCAACACTTGTGAACTGGTTTGGTGCATGGGCAGTTTCCTACACTTTCAATTTTCTCATGGCCTGGAGCTCTTATGGTAACCAGATACAACGATTACTATTTATAAGAATTACCCTTTAAAGGAACAAAATAAGGGTGCATCAATTCTTAAGAAAAGCTGAATGTGTACAAAACAAAATATAATTTTGAAAGTGAAGTATCAATATAACATACTTGTAATGAAAATGGTCGCTCAAGCAGAAAATGTAAACTTCCACAGAGAAATATATCATTAGAAAAAGATAATGAAAAGTTGAGTGACTCAAGGAGACCGAGTTTCATTGCTTGGTGCAATAGTAGAGTTCGGATCTACGAGCTTGAGGAATTGCCTTCCAGTCTAAGGGCACACACTGTGTGTAAAAGTGATGGCAAATGCTAGGCTTGTCTCTGCTTTTTACCTCCCTAAATTCCGAACTCCCTAAATGCTTTCTGCTTTTTAAGAACCTTAAAAATGCATTTCAGGCTAATTTCAGGAAATCAAAAGAAATGCATTCTTACATTTGTTCATGTGATTTCCAGGTACCTTTGTTATATATGCTGCAATCAATGCACTTGCTATCGTGTTCGTGCTCATGGTGGTACCTGAAACAAAAGGGCGAACATTGGAACAGTTACAGGCTGCCATTAATGGTTAGGAGATGGCATAAAAGAAAAACAGAAGCAGCTGTCTTTAGAAAGGTTTTTATCTGATTCTTTTGGCAACTCCATGAGATGTCCTGAGAAAGGCAAAATTTTCAACATGAATGCTGTGATTTTATTCTCAAAAACCATTATAGTATGTAATGAGTTTTATCTGTGATTTTATTGGAAAATGTGAGTTTATAAATTAAGGGAGATAAAAGTAGCAGGACATTTCAACCAAAAACAAAAAAGGGAAGAATAAAGTAAAGGAATTTAGTATTCAACATCCAAAAGTACTTTCATTCTTCACATTCTGCCAACTGATTTGCTTCACCATTTTAAACTGTAGTAGTCACCAAAAACTCATTTTCCTAATAAGGTAAAATTGGCTTCCAGCCATTTTTCTAGTTGTTTCTCACCAAGTGCCTGCATCCTTCTTGTCCTGACCTTATGCCGAGAACGAAGCCGTGGAATCTTCAAGGATTAAAAACGGGTTTGCGAATGCTCGAGGCTCCTGCCATTGCAAAGTACCTCACCACGGCAAGTGGAGAGGGTGTTTCTTTGTTTCAAACACTACATGTGCATATTGGAACTGAAAGAATTCCTAAACAAAAACAATTGCAGTTTTAGTCTCAGTGAGCCCAAATCAGCAACAAGAGATTCAGCAACAAATTTGAGCAACAGCATGTTGCTGCAAATGCTTCCAAATTTGGTAAAATGCACAATATTTAAATTTAAAAAAAAAATTAAAAAAAGAAGAAAAGAAAAGAGAATGGCTCATGGTCTACTGAGCTTCCAGGACGACTTGATGAAATGGGTTCATGCCAATTCTAAAAAGGGCACTTTGAGCATGAATACAAAAATTACAGTTTAAAATGGTGAAGCAAATTACAATGTGATATCGTCAGATCAAAGTTTGTGAATGAGAAACATTCAAATGTAGTACACATCCATGAATCACTGAGACACAACAATAAACAGAAGAAAATACAAACAATTCAGGTGTCTTAAATTCCAAGTACTTAGCTCTCAAGCTTGAAGTTACATATGAGTTGCAAACTTGCAGTTATCAACAATATGGAGTTAGCCAAAAAAAGAATTCCGTCGACAGCAGGGTTCGAACCTGCGCGGGCGAAGCCCAACAGATTTCAAGTCTGTCTCCTTAACCACTCGGACATATCGACAATTTGTTAATAAGGGGTCAAATATATATAATTAATCTTGTTCCATCCGACATACATATCGCAACGCCATCATAATCCATATCTTTTCTCCTCCCTTTCTTTAATGCTCAATCAAAATCTATACATATATACAAAAGTCAAAGTGGTTTTCCTTATTTCTAAGCATTTTTTATGTTTTTTAAAATACAAAAAAATGTTATGAAGGAGTGGATAAATAAATTATTATCTATTTTGTATACTATCTAAAATTTTCATCTTTGTTTCATATGTACTTATAGGGAAAATTTAAAACTGCGCCACTTAATTTTGTATATTTTAAAAAATGTTTAACTTTTTCAAATTAGTAAGTTTAACTGCTAATTTTTTGAAACTAATTACAAAACTATACTAAAACACTATTTACATTTCTTTATGGTCCAAAATACCCTCTTAGTGAATGAGGGGGTAACATACATGCCAATGCAGTGAAAGAATCGCTCCTTGATTGAGTGAGGTTTGAAGGAAACACAATTTTTGTGAACAATAAAAGAACGTGAATTTAAGATGGAAATTAATAAAATGAGATTTTCATTAAATAGTTGACATTTAAAGAAGTCTCGTTAAAGGGATATGGATTGGCAAACTAGATAAAAATAAATAAATAACAACACTAAAATTTGATATCATTTGCACAAAATGGTTGCCTTCATCCAATCCTGGGGTTATGACAAAAAAATAATAAAAAAGAAAACTAGTGTTTAACCGCAGAAAATTTAATTATTATTATTTTTTTTCAATTTTTTGTTTCATCTCCCTTATCTTTCAGCACCATTCTCTACCCAACAACCACATTGAACAGATAATGTTCTCGAAACCTCATCAGTCATCTCCAAAGCATAAGCATGAATAATCTAAACTTTTAAGGCTGCACTCACATGGTCCAAAAGTATTGCATATTCTCAAACAAATTATGCACTTCCATTTTCAACCCTTTTTTAAATAAAAAAAAATCATGCATTCACTTATACATTCGTTAAAGAATTAAGGTACAGCCAATTTCACAAGCCTCATTGCTAGATTAAACCATTAATTACTTACAGTAACCACATGAAAGTAAAATGTCTTTGGGCAACCCTTCCACTAGTGTGCAACATATATGAAAAACAATTTCATCATAACATAAAAAACAAGTGACTTAAAAAGAACGGTTTGATAATCAAACCATTTCATAACATTATAAAACTGAAATTTAAGATAGATTTGTCCTAATAAAATCAAGCAAATAATAGTTTCAGGTACATCGCCATTTCAAATTGTTTAGTATCCAGGAAGTGGGTTTTTACACTTTCGACGGTTGTGTCCGGTTTGCATACAACGTGAACAATGAGTAACGTTCTTTTCCTGAAATTGTGTAATACCCCGATAATTTTAAAAGATTTATTAATTAGGATTAATTATTTTATTTTATTTTTCAATAATTTATTTTATTTTATTGAGTGCTAGATTAATTATCTTATTTTAATTAAGTTATATTTTGTGATTATGTATGATGATTGATTGTTTGTGTGGTTGATTATTGATTGAATTATTGGTGTGTTGATTTTATTGGTATTATATGACTTAGTTGTAAATTCTTGTTTGTTTATGTGCTTCATGTAATTAGTTATTTTAATTTCTGTATTTAATTAATTATCTTATTTATTTAAATTAATTGGATTGGGCTTAAGGAAAGTTGGACCAAAAGATGTGGTCTTGGGCTTGTATGAAACCTTATTGGGTTAATTAATGAAGGTCCGTGGTTATTTAATTATTTAAATGATCACTTTTGTATCAATTATATATATATATATATATATAATTATATATAAATATAATTAATTAATAATTGTTATGGAAAGATATATATATAGATATATATTTATTGATATTTATAAGTATATATGATTTAATTAACTAATGAGTTAATTATGGAAGGAATATATATTTATATATAATATATGTTTATAGATATAAATTATTTAAAGGTTATTATTTTAATTCATAATACTAGTTGGAATAGGATTTGGAATTTAAGGTGTATAAAAATACACATAAAGCTTTAGGGTTAAAGGTTTTACACGTTAGAAAAATAAAACAGACAGAGAGAGAGGAAGAAGAAGGGCTGACAAGGAGGAGGTCGGATCTGAAAAGGAGGACGTCGGAATTGGAAGAGATAATTAAAGCTTAAAGCGTCGGTTTCGTTTCGAAACCTTCAGGCGAGTTTTCTCTAACTTTCCTCTTAGAACTCATAAGGATTTCACCTTGAGTATCAAGGCTTTAATTAAATTTATTTGTTTAAAAATTATGGTTAGATCGGAATAATTAAAAAGTATAAACTATTATATTTGATTTTTAGATTATTGGATTTTAATTGATATATATAGGTGTTATGTATATTTTAAAATCAATCTATAGGTGGATTTGTGACCCAAGAGAGTTAATTATGGTTTCTTTATTTTCTAGAATTGTTCTGTAATTTTCTGGAATTTTTCTGATATTTTTAGGAATTTATTAGGATTTAATTTCCTATTATTTGTTAGGAAAATAATTATATATATATATATATATATATATATATATATATATATATATATATATACTAGGTAACTGGCGCATGCGGAGCGGCGGCACAATAAAGAATTGATCCAGTGCGGCGCGGTGTAGGATAATAGGGTGTATACGCCAATTAGGGCCATTTGATTAATTAAACTTATGTGAATTGATATGGTGCATCGCGGCGCATAAAACTTTGGTGCGCAGGTGTATCTGGACCATAGAAGTGGTCTGGTCAACTATGGGATTATTTGGTGTATTGCAGACCATGAGAAGATGGTGCCCTCGCTGATCTGGACCTTAGATCTATTATAGTTAATAGAAAATAATCTAGTGTGAGCGTGTTCATTTGCGCACTCATTTATGACCATTAGATGCGGCATAAAGGAAGTGATGGATTCAGTGTGGTGAGCTCACGGTAGCTGAAAGAGCTTAGCCAATACCAGCACACAAGGAGGCTTGAATCCAACGAGTGCAAGTGCATAGTAAGCACGTGGGCGCGCGTGGGAAACTATGTTGGCCTAATTCGACACTAGAAATTAAAACGGTCATAACTTAGTCATTTTAAATCGAAATTGGGTCATTCTTAAGCTCAAATTCAAGGATTTTTCGTCTTCTTTCCAATGGTACCAATTTCATTATCAGATTCCCATCCTACTAGGAGATATTTATGTTTTAGTGAGAAAGTGTCGGAAAACTATTTAAACCAATATGGAGTATTTAAAGGAAACTATTTCTGACATATTTAGTTGCACTAATTTGTGTAAATATAATAAATTAATAATTTGTTATGGAAGGAAGTGTGTGTATATATATATATATATATATAATTATTTATATATGGGTATATATAGTTTAATTTGTCTATGAGTTGTATGGAAGGATGAATATATATATATATATATATATATATATATATATATATATATGTATGTATGTATGTATGTATATTGATTTTAAATAATCAAGGATTATTAAAGAAGGTGTTAAACACATATATACATTAAATAACATATGTGTAGGTATATATATATATATAAATCATTTAAGATGATTAATATTATCATTCTTATTTGACATATCTTAATAGGCTGGTTGTTAAATTAATGATATGCGTATAATATGCATGTGATGGCTATGTATGATTTAGCGTATTGTTAATTTTAAAGTTAATTCATGGTTAAAGTGTGGGCATGGATGAATTGTCAAATGATTAAATATATTACCTAAATATTTGTATGAATAGAATACATATATGGAAAGCATGGATGAATTGCTAATTAAATGTATGAATAAATATACCTGTGGAGGCATGGTTGAATTGCCAATGTATAAATATACATACACGGAGGCATGGTTGAATTGCCAATGTATAAATAAATATACTTATGGAGGCATGGTTGAATTGCCAATATATAAATAAAAATATTTACAATGGCATGGTTGATTT